GGAGTACTTGCCCTTAGTGGAGAGACTGAGGGCTTGCTCAGTCTAGAGGAGAGAAGGCACTGTGGGGGGATCTGACAGCAGCCTTCTCCTGCCAATGAGGAGGCCATCAAGAAGATGGCACAGTGGTACATGGCAGGGAGACAGCAGGCATACACTGAAATCCATTTCTGTACTGATATATGGAGAAACTTTTTCACTGTAAGGACAGTCAGGAATTGTAAAAGGTTGCCTAGAGAGGTTGTGCTGCCTGCATCCTTGGAGGCTTTCGAAGTATGACTAGATAAAGCCTCAGACTAATCTGAATTTTCTTATGATTCTATAATCCTGTATTATTAATAGATGGCAAGTAGAAGAGATTTTGTTTTTGTTGTTGCTCTAAACACTTCAGATAAGAGGGCAAATATTCATTTAATAGCAACTTATTTTAAAGGTGTTAATGGAGACATTTAGCTGGCACTATTTTTATTTAAAACTCAAAAGTCGCTATCAGAAAGCCTGGAAGGAGTGTTTGTATCCCTGCTGCTTTTTAGGGCCGAGACCTGATAAATTGTAGCTGTCATACTGGCTGTAATGCCATGCTGCTTCTAGATGGATACTGCATAAAGCTGGCTAAATTTATTTCTTTTGCTAAAAGGCACTTCCCTCCTGTCATTCTGCCTGGCAGGTTTTACTTCAGGGCAGGGAGCTTTTTGCTTGCACAGACTTTCGTAGTTTTATTACTTACTCTCTCAGATGACAGTTTAGTTCAATCTAGTAGCAATGCTGAGAAGAGTGATCAGAATTGAGACTGATCTTCTAAGATATGCCACTGTTTTCTGTAATCTGTGTATTTTTTTCTCTCATATAAGAGAAAGCTGTAACAGTGCAGATGGTGTCCGTCATTCAGTTTTGTCAGAACATGGACACTAGGACAGGTAGATGGAATGGCCATAGTAAGTCTGGAAGTCAAAATTGTTGTCTCCAGTTTTGTAGCAATTAAACTCTAGCCAGCTATTAACTGAAAACATACCAGACTTATTTAGAAAGTCTGAAAATAATTTGCTTGGTTTGCTTTTTTTTCTCTAGTCATACTTTCTGCTTGTGAAAAACACTAGATACAAATTTCTGTGAACCAAAGCTGAGAACAAACAGGGATTTTCCACCCCTTGGGCCTCAGCCCTGATTGCAAAGAACATGTTCTGTGCAGTTTTTGGGTCTCATCGTGACAAATGGGATTTAGATGCTAAAGAAATTTGAACCTGCATGGAGCTCTGTGAATAGCACTGCGATCTCAGCAGATTTTGGCATGTCATTTTCAGTCAGTCAGTTATGATGTTCTTTGTGATATGCATGCCCATTAGGAAGTGTACTGAAATCTCATTTCATGCCGACCATTGAATGGCAGATCACTGTTGCCCAGGTGGCCTACATGATTAATTATGCAACTGAAAAGACAAGATTCTGTCCCTGGAAGTTCTGCAGGACAAGTTTAGATATAATAAGTAATGTATCTAATGAATGAGATTCAGGCTATTGTAATGAAATTGCTTGCTCAGGACAGGTATGTTAATGTTCAAACTCAGTGTTTCTATTTTTAAGCCAAATAAAAATGATTTAAAATAATTTTTCTAAAAACGCTTTAACATTTTGGGTTTCAATGAAAAAGGCCTAAATAAAAAGCATCAAGATAACCAGTAAGTTGTGCCCATGGATAGCACCCACTAGATGCCACTCTTCTCAAGCTATAGACAGTGGGATATGTCTGCTTAAAATACAAACAATTAAGTATTTTTTCTGTTATTAAAAAAATCTTCATTGTGGAAAAAAATTTACAGTGCTCAGATTGTAACTATGAGTTTCTAAGTTAAATTCTTGTGTCATTTATACCTAGATAAAATTGCTTTGTGTTCAGAGGGATGGAACTTCTTTCCACTGACTACCAAAGAATTTAGTGTCCTCAATGATTTTGTGTATAAAATCTCATTTAACTGGAAATGTTGGCCTTTCTTCAGTAAATTGTTCAGTTTTACCTCTGTGTGAGAGGTTTTTTTGAAGCATGGTTTTGGAATATAAAAGTGTTTTGACAACAAATAATAAATATTTAACTTCTTCCAACTTCTTTTGGTGTTACCACCAGTTACCTGATGTGCTTCCTTAGTCTGCTCTGATGATAAACAGTGGTATGCTTAACAATTGTAATTCAAGGTTTTGAAGGGTCATGAATTTGCTAATAAGGTAATGGAGAACATTTAATCATGGAATCCCACATACTGTTCTATCAGTGAAGCAGCCACTTAAACTGTTTAGTCATTTCATTATGTTGAGTCATGCCAGTTGTACCTGTGCTGTCTTAATGGATGGATGTTCAGTTGTGGCTGCCTGGCAGCTGGAGCCTCAGTCCCTTTGTGATACAATGCTGATTTTTTTTTTTCCCCTATGTTCTAAAAAGTATATTTTCTTAAGATTTTATAAGCCCTTTTTACAGCGAGGTAACTGGCACCATGGAAATCGTTTCAGTGAAAAAAGTCTCCCATCCAAATGACCTTGTTCTTGTTTTTAAAGAGAGATTATCTATGAAAAAAAATTCACTTGGCAGGCATACTTTCCATACATGTACTGCTTGTGTAAGTACTTGCGGTTCAACAGGGCTCTGTTCTTGCAGTCCTGCTTCTATGTTGGCTGGATCTTGCAATGGATCTTCTGTTTGTTATCAGCTTGTTAAATTTCTGTGGTGACACAAGGTCCACTTTATGATTTCACTGCAAGATAAAGGTGGAAGGGAAGATGGTTTGACTTGGAAAGTACGTTTGTTTAAATGAAAATAATATTTAGGTATAATAATTAAAATAAGTGAATGCCTGGCTGTGGAGTGGAACCTTTTGTGCAAAACTTTGCATTCAGTAACTGTAAGCTTTGCAGTTTCCTTCTACAGGAGATATGCTGTTTCTTTGTGTACAGACACTTTATGTCTTTCCCT